TGCAAGAGAGAGAGAGAGAGAGAGAGAGAGAGAGAGAGAGAGAGAGAGAGAGAGAGCCCACCCACCCAATAGCAATAACTCTTACCGAGCGTGATCCCAGACTGTCCTCTATTGGCGCCATTTAGCTCCACGTAGTTAGTCGCCAAAGGCAATGTGTACGACCGGAAGGCCCCCGTGAGAAACAACAAAACCATAAACACGTACAGACCAACTTTTACGTCAGGTTTCTGGGGCGAAGGAAAGCCACCACCACCTCCTCCTCCCATTACCATAGAGCTGTTCAAACCCATAAACGCCAGTGAGGAAGTATTCCTGCAGAGATAGCTTTGAAACATGGCAGCAAACCCGCCCATCGCCCCAGCGCCGCCAACGCCATTACCCTGCGCAGCTGCTGCCGGGGGAGCTTCTAGAGCAGTGGGTTGGCCGACGTGGATGAGAGAAATGCCTACCAAAATAACGCCCGTCAAAGCAGCGGAAACTGACAGCAGGCGCGGGATGTGATAGAACTTGCCGAAGTGACTTCCGATCAGGACGAAGCACATGTTCCCGATTGACCCGAAGCTGAGGAGGAGTCCGAGCGAGCTACTGTTGAGAGAGAAGGCTCTCTCCAAGGAGATGACCTGAGAGCGCATGTACTGCTCAACGCTCATCAAAAACAGTGCGCAAGGGCTCCAGAAGCCGACGAACGCCCAGATGGACGACAGACATTGCAGTGATCGAGGGCGGCATTTTCCTACGCCGAACTCACTGCGCACATCTACGGACACGTCTGAGTTTTCACTGAATTCCTCACTTCCTGCTGTTGTTTTATTGTCGCTAGCGTTTATATTTGCACTTGCTTTTCGACCCATTGTCCTGGTCTAGAAGAAAAAGCATTCATTCAACATTATTTTTCATTTCATTTTGATAAGCGTGGGGTTGTCGGTATATCATCAAAGATTCCAAAAAGTACATAATTACATTTTGAAAAATACAATAGTCTTGGTTTTAGTTTTAAGTATGTAATGAGCTATGTCATAAATGTCTTGGGGTCAACGCGTAACGATTTTAGACCCACCCTTTTGACTTTTAATCACGTATAGATTTAATTGTCTTTTTTAAAGTAACCAAGCATAGAGAGATTCTTCAAAATATGTTTGTCTATCTAGAAATGTGTCTCCAATTCAGTCCTCTTTCAAAGTACCTCTGAATTAAAGCGTTTTATCTTTTCTGCACGTTTGTCGGTCTATCCATTACTTCATTCATTCATTTAATTCATTCATCTATGTGATTTATCATTCATTCTTTCTTTCATTCATTCATTTGTTCATTTGTTCATTCATTCATTCATTTATTCCTTCTTTCATTCATTTGTGCATTCCTTCATCCTTGTATTCATTCATTCATTCATATGTCTACTCGCATTTTTGTTCTTTTCTTTCGGTCTTCTATATTATATTAATTCACCTTCAAATTATGTAACGACACAGTGGAATTACGTGCTCGTCAATTATTTATTTTTGGGGGATATGGGGGTTATTGTTATCCATTTAGAGCTTATTCATTCGTGTCCATCTTGAATAAAAGTCGACATATTTGCAATTGAAGGAGGAGGGAGTCCTCTGGTGTTAGAGATTAGATAAATCAAAACTGTTTATTAATCCTTTCCACTCACACCTCTTCTGAGAAACCCAACATCCCAATAGATACTTGGGCAAAACCCATCAATGCCATCATAAAATAATGTATACCCGGTACCAACATTAACCTACCATTGCCAAACTTCGTCCTTGACGAAAACACAGCAGAGGAAACTGACCACCAGCGAGATTAAATGTCTGAGAAAAGCTATGAACAAGACCAGGAGGGACCATACTATCTGGTACGAGGTGGTCAGACACACGAGAGGAATAACACCGGTCCTTCGACGCATACAACACGAGAGAGTCAAAATTAATTGTCCATGCTTAAATAAAAATTGCAGTTAATCCATATGCACAGGAGTGAAGGTTATTTTGTACTGAACTCTACGCGGTGCGTCATTCATTAATTGTAACATTTTTTTATGGAATACATTGATTTTTTCACTTTTGAGGGAGGCCTCGAATATCTAATTTACAATTCAGAAATGCTCACTGCATCCCATTTCATTTGTTTACTTTATTGCCCTTCAAAAACGTATTTATTTATTTTGTTTTAACATTTCACACGCGCAGTTGTGTGCTTCTGCTGCCCCTATTTGTTTCTCTTTCGGCATTACTTACTTTTACCTTTAGAAGAAGTGAAACCAAAATTGAGAAAAGATATATCTTAATTACATTTTGAAGAAATCTGTCAAAATAGCCTAACTGAATAATGTTATTATTGCACTGAGACCTATTCCATCTTTTTGTTTTCTTAGATCATAAATCTTTGCTTCTTTTTTTTTTCTTTTCCTACGATTTCCTCCTTTAACTCAAATTTAATTATCGGTAGCTTTCTTCCAAACTCTCTGAATTTAAATCACACACAGATTTCACCAAAAAAACAACAACAATAACTCAGTTGTCACCTTGCGAATAGCTCAACTTCAAAACAGATACCGTTGTCTTGAAACGTTATGATCGCTTCATAATGTGCATTCCTGCAACTGCATTGTTTTAAACATATCGGAGCGCACTCGCGAAAATATTCTCTGGCCTATGAAACTTTGGAAAACGGTGTTGCTGCTGCTGCTGCTCCTTCTTCTGCTGTTTTTCCTGTTGTCGGTTCAACTTCTGCAGTCTTACTTTATGACATTCGGCTGCACCGGGCATGGGCCTAATACAAGTAAATCTTAAGGTGAATGCGGGGGAAAAAATCAAGTTGCGTTATAGGAGAACCGCAGCTGAAAAAGAAAACCCTGAGGCGACGCAAGAAAATAATATTGGCGGCGGAGAGGATGAATGAATGAATGGAGTCCATTGTAAATAGCAGTGCCCTTTGTCCTGGTTATGTGACCCGGCGTGCGGATACACGTGCTTGTTGTGTTCTGGTCGCTGAATAGGCACTGGAGCTGGTAGATTTAGTATGTGAGGCATCGTGGAGAAATCAGGCGCTCGTCAAATTAATAAAATTGGAGAAATCGGCATTGTTTTCGATAGTTTGGCAGTTTTTATTGAATTTTTTTATTTTTTCATACGAGTTTGACTTTAAAATGTTGATTAAAGGCAGAAATTAGGTAAATTTTCAGTTTTCAAGGACTTTCAAGCCGTTGAATTTTCCTAACTTTGGCGGCTTTTTCCCTCGATGATTTTACCTCTGAAACCAGGTGACCTCCACCTGCTTCAATCGCAAACATCACGACTTCTATTCAAGATTAACGTATTTTTTTCCTCGAAAGCTAGGCAGATGAATAAGCTTTCAGATGACACCAATAACTCCACAAGTCCAAAATTTGACGAGCGCTTGATTCTACCACGATGTGACACATATGTGAATATGGCTAAGGGTGACCGGTCCAGGAAGGGGGGG